CATTGTAAGGTTTTAATGCTCTAAAACTTACAATATCTTAGTTTAACTCTCTTTAACAGTCATCTTCATGTTACACTTCTAAGTAGGCCTGGGTTTAATCTTGATAGTTGTCTTTAGTTAGTTACTAAGGGCAATATGGTCATTATCTTGTTAGATCAATTAGGTCAGTAGTTAGTATAAATAGGTGATTAGTAGTGTTGGTTAGGGATATCTTGGATCTATTGCTATATAATATGGTATATTTTTCAAAGTACAATGATGCGATAAGATTAAAAAGAAATAAATAAGATATGCTATTGCAGACAAATTAATGGAAGTATGTTTTTTGCAGATGTGTGTTGTCTCTTCCCCCAATAATCAATGGAGCCCACTCAGCTATTTCTACAAAGACCAAGAACGTGTTCATTGAATGCACAGCCACTGATTTGACAAAGGCCAAGATTGTCTTGAACACAATGGTTAAGTGTTTAATCATACCTTTTAAATCATTTTTAAAGAACAAGTGTATTGATAGAATTATGCATATATATTTTTTTTAATTAATTGTAGGTGACAATGTTTTCTGTATACTGTGAACGAAAGTTTGAAGTGGAGCCAGTTGAAGTAATATATTCTGATGGAAAATCCTACATTTGCCCTGAACTATCACCCTATGATATGGAGGTCTCTCTAACATACATAAATGGTATCGCTGGGGTTACATTGGAAGCAAATAAGGTACTAAACTAAAACTTGTCTTTTAACTTGTTATCTGATTACTTACATTATCAAACTACAAAAATTTACCTTTTTACCCTCCACCATTCAGGTTGCTGGGTTGTTGAACAAAATGCAATTACATGCTAAGCAATCAGTGACAAAGAATGATGAATGCATTTTCACTGTGTCTGTTCCTCCAACCAGAAGTGATGTGCTTCATGCATGTGATGTAGCAGAGGTAGAAACAAACAAAAGTAGTAAACATTGTGTGATTATTTCCATCAACTGACATATGAAAATATTAATTACTTTTTTTTTTTTTTTTGGGTAACAAATTCGGAAGGATGTGGCGATTGCATATGGTTTCAATGAAATTCCAAAGAGGAAGCCTTCATCCATAAAGCCTTTGCCTCTGAATCAGTTCAGTGACCTTATCAGAATGGAGGTACATATGTCTATATGGTTGGAAGAAAATTGATGATAGATTTAATAATTAAAATGTTTTTTTGGTATTTATTTAGATTGCACTGAGTGGTTATTCGGAGGTGCTAACATGGATTCTATGCTCATACAAAGAAAATTTTGCTATGTTAAACCGTAAAGATGACAAATCAACCTCAGTTGTTATTGGCAATCCTCGCTCTGCAGATTTTGAGGTTTCTTTGTTTCCTTGGCTTGTATTATTTTTCTATTAAATAATACTTGAGAGATAATAAACTTGTCAACTGTGTGTGTAGGTTGCACGAAGCAGTCTTATGGCTGGGATATTAAAAACAGTTGCACACAATAAAGATCATCCAAAACCTATCAAGGTAATGTATAGGTTTTGTTAGTATTAACAGACAATCTGATTTTTATTTTATTTATTTATTATTATTATATCCGGGAGTGTAGATATTTGAAGTAGGTGATGTAGCGGTGTTGGACGAGTCAAAAGATGTCGGGGCAAGAAACCAGCGCCGCGTGGCAGCTCTTTACTGTGGTGCTACTTCGGGTTTTGAGGTAAAATATTTATTTGTTTTTTGCTGAAGGAAATATTAAAAAAAAAAAAAAAACAAAAACAAAACAACTTTTGTTTGCAGCTGATACATGGGCTGGTAGACAGGATCATGCAAGTAACTGGTACTCCTTTTGTATCCCCTGGGGACAATACTGGTTACCATATTGTTAGCTCGGATGTAAGAATAGACTTACTTATTATTATTATTATTATTATTATTAAGTCTTAAAGAGTGTGATGCTTACAATTGTTGTGGAATGAATTCAGGAGCCTGAATTTCTGTCTGGAAGACAAGCTTCTATAATTTTCAAAGGCAAACCTATTGGGACTTTTGGCATTGTTCACCCACAGGTTAGTACTACTTTTCGCTCCTTACAAATTGTTAGTTACATTATATATATATTAATTTTTTTTTTTTGGGTGACTTTCAGGTGCTGGACAACTTCGACATACCAGATCCATGCTCATTTGTGGAGCTCAACCTCCAAAGCCTGCTATAATTTATAATCTTTGTCCGCGTAGTGGAAAATTGAATGATTGTTTTTGTTTAAATTGATAAATATTTATCTATTTTTTCCCCCTGAAATGAGAGATGTGTAGCATATACGATTTTGTAATTGTTTCCTAAAAATTTATCTATTACTGGTGTATGAATTTTTGGTTGCTCATGGTTTGCCTTTGCTTATTTTTATTTATCATAAAACTTCAATTCATCTGAATTTTGTTTATTTACGTAAAAACTGGTCAAAGTGAGAAAATGACTTGTCTCAAGTTTTAAATTTGATTTGTTACCCATTTCATGAATACAATCACATGCAACAAAGCTTAGATAATCCTTCAAGTAAACGACTCGTCCCTACAATGGTTAGACTGAAACGAAAGTTGCATAATAGGGTTAAATCAATCACTTGGAGATTATCCAACCGTTGTCACATGTGACTTGACATATTCATTTAATAGCTAACGCCATCACTTACGAGTTCCACAAAAAGCAAGAAGCATTTGTGTAGTAACATTTCAATCCATAGAATAACCAAGGACATCCAATTCTACATACTACAACTCATGATAGGAACTTCCACTCTCACTAACGATTGCCTTTGGCATACAAAATCTAGCATTCCATGCTTCCTAGGCTACAAGTAATCACATCTCAGGCCAATCTATCACTGATCAGAACTAGCATGTAAGTCTACAAACTCATACAATAGCTATACAAGACATCTCTCCTAGCATTCTATCATGCAAACATTGAGCAAAACCTTAACCCTTACTAGCATGTGATTCACATATTCATAAAGCAAATCATATCAGATAACATGTATGAGTATTTTGGGAAAAACTTACTTGAGCTTTATTGATCGCATGCACCACACCCTTTATTGTATTAAAAAACCATTTTCTTAAAAAAAAACATTTTTTTTGACAAAAAACATTACCAAACCCTCAGTTTGAGTTCAGAAACACTCAAAAGTATGTTCGAATCCTTCAAACCAAAGCTTTTATACCAACTTGTAATGTCCCAAAAATAATACCCGAAAATTTTCATTTTTAAATTAATAAAACAGTAAACCATATCATTGTCATAAAACCAAGGTAATCAAATTTTATTAATACTTTATCATTATCAATGTAAATCACAATATGTGGAATCGAATGGTGTGTGCTCTGCAATCATCCCGCACTCTTCCCTTTGGAACCAGAAGTACCCGAAATATAAACTGAAAACCGTAAGCACAAAGCTTAATGAGTTCCCCAAAATATCACATAGCATACATAACTAAACACATAACGGGCCCCACCCACTGAATATAATGGGCCCGACCCACTAAGTATAACGGGGCCACCTAAAATCATATAACGGGCCTGCCCAACGAGTATAACGGGTCCCACCCAAACTCATATAACGGGCCCCACCCACATACAAATCATATAAGCATAACAAGATAATAACATACAAAATAACCATCAGGCTCCACCCAATAAGCATACAAGCACATACACATGTAAGAGTCACGCATACATCTAACATCCTACATAAAAAAATATGGGCCGGAATTAGTACCTTAAACCCGCTAAACATGGTGATGAAACCTCAAACTGCTGAATCCGACAGATAAATCTATAACTACTAGCCCGCTAAAAATCCCTACGCTATCAATCACAAAATAACATCTAATTGATAATTGGATCCCGACTCACACTAAGAGTCCAAACTAGGGTAAAAGACCTTTTTACCCTTTCCATATCTTGGCCCAAAGCCAAAGCCCAATTTCAAAATAATCACCTAAGCCCCATTATGGTCCAATTTTCCAAATTGGGCCCAAACCCCTTTCATGGGCCTTCAACCAAGGAGTCCAAAAAAATATTAACAACTCAACAAGAGAATCCTGGTGGCCAAATAAGGTTCAAGACATCAAAAGCCAAACATAGCCTAATACCGGGAAGCCCACAAAACAAAAGCCCATACGTACTCAGCTTGTACGCTCAGCGTACACGCTAAAGGGCTTGTACCGTGGCGTAGTTGCTTGTACGCCTAACGTACTCCGCCATTTTGGCCAACCTTCACAATTTAGCTCTTAATCGATTAAGACTCCAACCCAAACTCAGATCTAACTTCCTTAAGGTGGTTTATCACATAAAGATTCCAACTTTACGTGCATGCATGGCTTAATGAGGCTCTTAGAGCTCAAAAGAGCTTAACAAATGACTTAACACATGCATGAGACCCCAAATGCCCTAAAGCTTGCATTTTTATGGACAAAGGAACCAAAAAGGTCCTAGATCTACCAACAATCGCTTCTGGAGGGAAGCAAAAGGCTCCACAATTTGACCATGGACTCAAAGAGCATAAAATGGCACCAAACTAGATCTATCATTATGGAATAGCAAGATGGAAGCTTTTTTATAACATCCCAAAATTTGCAATAAATTTGAACTTTTTAAAACAACATAAATCATCCACTTAATATATTTTATTCAAAACAAATGAAATACCAAACCCCTAGATCAGTTCTGTTTCTAAACATTATTAGTTAAAATTCTAAAATTTATGAAAAGACAACAAGTTCAATATAAATTCCAAAAACCCGCATCAAGCCAGTGTGTACAATCATGCCCGACCATCCTGTGTACCTGAAATAGTATTTTTAAGGGAAAAGGGGTAAGCACAAAGCTTAGTGAATTCCACACATACACAATATCATATCATATAATCCTTACCCCTATACACGAATACAATCGACATCAAACACATAACCACGCATGCATGTCAAAGAACGAATCAGTAACAGATGCACTCCTACTGGGACACATTGGCTAGGCCCGATCCCCCTTGCTCAGTACATCGAGCCCTTGGGACACATTGGCTAAGCCCGATCCCCCGTACCCGAACCCATTGGGACACATTGGCCATGCCCGATCCCCCTTGCTCAGTTCGTCGAGCCTTTGGAACACATCGTGCCCTTGGGACACATTGGCTAAGCCCGATCCCCCGTACCCGAACCCATTGGGACACATTGGCCATGCCCGATCCCCCTTGCTCAGTTCGTCGAGCCTTTGGAACACATTGGCTACGCTCGATCCCCACTCGGATGCGCCGAGTCCTACCATGCATAATCCTCAATACGTGAGGCAAACCACTAGACTCTACCCCGCCTAGTAATACCCACATAAATAATGCAATACATAGCACACACGAGCTAATGTAAAGAAGATATAACACAACACGGTGTAGTGAGGAGCTCACCTCCAAACGCAACGCAACCTCCCAAGTAACCCGGAACTCACTCACACCTGCGTTCCCTTCACACTTCCTAAAGATAATAAATTGAGTTGGTTTAGTTATTAAATTGTCATAATGATGAATATAACTAATGCGTAAATTTCCAAATTTCCACATAAAAACTAGGGTCTGTTCGGGACCTGTTTTCACAACCTTAAGCTTCATATTTTTCAAAACTGTATCACATAATGATAGATTAGATTCTTAGCTTTAAAATTAGTATTCACACACCTACATACGATGTTTCTAAGATTTATGGAGAATTTTACAAAACTGCTTCGCATAACAGATCATTCCGGACCAGTCTGGGTAAATGGTCGTATTTACCCTAGCTAGAGGCATTTATGGATTTTGGTTAAAACTAATGAAGTGTAGAGGACTCAATTATGAAACGTTTTGCACTGATTTAAACCAAAAAGGGTTTTCCATTATCGAGATATGATCTTTCAAAGACAGGGGCATATTAGGGAAAAATCCTGAAATCACAGCTTTGACTTTTTAGGGTTATTTAGCTCCTTAACCCATTAAGACCCAATCCCAAATGACTTATATTCTGGAAAGAAGTAATTAACAGTAGTGACAACCCATTGAGTCAAAAAGCCAATAAAAATTCCAATCCTACACTCCAAAATACATTGTTTTTAGGAGAAACAAAGTACAACACCTTACAAGTAAACCCCACGAATTAGTGTTTGGTTTCTACAACAAACCCTAGTACTTTAGTCCCAAATTCCACCACCCATGGCCACCCTAGCATGGTAGCTGATGGTGGTCGTGAATTGCATCCATAGCCAAGGCTATGGTGATTTTCAATCATGCTCAAAACCGAACAAAAAGAGAGGAAAAAGAAGATCCCCTTACCTTCCACAAGCTCTTCTCCTTGATTCCACTTCTTTGTTTGGTATTTCTACTTTTCCTCCTTCTTTGGATAAAACCTCAACTTGACTGCCTCCTTCTTGATCTCAAAAACCCTCGTTCCCTCTCTTTTCTTCTAATCTCGGCCACAAAGAAAAACACAATCACTCACGTCTCTCTCTTGGGTTATTAGGTTAAACATATATACCTTGACATATATTTGACTAGTATGGATTAACGTGGGCTCAAGGAAAGAACCTAAATCCAAAATCTGATTTCCCGTCTACAACCATGCTTCATTTTCGAAATTTTCATTTTAAACCCTGAAGTTTTCCATAATGACAGTTTCTACCCCATACACAATATTCTTTGCATAAAAAGGTTTCTAAATTAACAATTTCATCCCCTCTTCTGGATATTACTTACAAGACCCTCAAATACTAAATTATTATAATTAAAATCATTATTTAGGTTATTTAATTATCCTTCGATTTAAATAAACTAAAATTAAATAAATAATTACGAAATTATTAACATATCGAAAAACGGGATGTTACATTTTTACATCACAAGGAAAGAAAATGAAGAGCTAATCTCAGATCTTCAAGCTCCAAGCACAACTCCAAATGGTTCACTTCTTCTCCTTCACAATGCACAAAAAATCACACTTTAAGGCTTAAACTCTCAAGATCTCACTTAGGGTTCGATTTTCTGGACAAGAAGGGATGGAGGCTGCCTACACATGACCTAGTGAGGCTATCACAAGGTTTAAATAGGATGTAACACCCTAAATTAGGGTTTCACTTATCCATACGTACACCTCACGTACGTGTCCAAAGGCGTGATCAAGCATCAGGATAGTACACTAAGCGTACCACCCTATACGCCCCACGTACTAGCCTTAAGGACCTTCTTGCAAAATTTTTCGATTAGGGATTAAATATGAATCTTAAAATTTTTCCTAGTGTTACAACTATTGGGCTTTCAGAGCCATTGAGTTGGGCCTCAGTTTTGGTCCAAGTGAGGGAAGGATAAAAATGGTCTTTCACCCTGAATATTGAAATAATGAATTAGATTTCTGGATATGGGTTATGGAACAATTATTAATTGAGGTTTTATCTGATTGGTTAATGCGAGGATTCTCCAGTTCAGTACCCTGCATTCGTTTGACTGATAGCAGACTGAGGTGAGTTTGCTCACTATATAGTAGGACACTAAGATTGTATGTGCTTGTAATTTTTGTGACTCCTGTTGTATGTATGTATGTATGTGTGCATGTTTGCTATATGTATGTGGGGGTGAAATAGACATGGTACAACCTTGTTCTGAAATATGAGTTAAAATAGACTCGGGGGTGAAATAGACCCGATACGGCCTTGGGCTGACACATGAGTTGAAATAGACTCAGGGGTGAAATAGACCCACGGTGGAATAGACCCAACACAAACTTGAGCTGACAGATACGTATGGTATGCAGTATTTTGGGAAACTCTCTAAGTTTCTTGCTTACGGTTTTCAGTTTATGTTTCAGGTACTTCCGGATCGAAGGGGAAGAACTCGGGATAATTGCATCACAAACACCATGATTTTCGCCTTATTTTACTCTGATGTATTTTGATGATTGATTGATATACTCTTATTTCATTTATGGATTTTATAAACATGTTTTGATGATTGTTTTATTAATATGAAAATGAAATTTTTGGTTTTAAATTTTGGGTCGTTACAATTTGTCACCAAACTAGTCAAATTTCCATATACAATCACTTGGCGACTTAACCCCGTAAGTCGTTAACCCAATCGAGAAATCTCGGTAAATTATGGTGTATAACCCTTACTGACTAGATTAACATTTAACAAATCATCGGGTCATAATAAAACTGTATTATGAAATCCCGTAACACTCGGGGTCTAACAATCCAATATACAATACTTAGTTAAAAATTATTACATAATAACGAGATAAAAAATACATCGACTCGTCTTGTAACTCAACCCCCATACCCCCGTAAGCTAGTACAACTCTACGATAATAAGCCTCTAGAAACACTTCCAGAGCCTCTCTCATGATCACGTGTGCCAAAACTCTCCGGTTGACACATAAACAACATATATACACCGACTCGAAAGCGCTTCACAACACCTAACTGACCGCACTATGGTTTGCTTTTTTCCTGATAACCCGCTACGTGTACTGCCAATCTGACACATGTCTTTGTTGAATCATCACTGGTTGCGCTACATCCATGAGTTGACTTTTATTGACTCTCTCAGAATAGAAACATATTTTCAAACATATACAACTCCTTCATATGAACTCTATTTTGACAATCTTAATATCCATAGAATCGTCTCAGAGTGAGCTATCACTTTCTTCCACTAACTCCTGCTTATTTTTCACAGTAATACCTTGTATGAAAAACAGGTGTTACATGGACCCCTATATTCATGAGTTCACATTTATCACTCCAAGTATGCCCCCGTATCTCCAATGTTAGATAATATACTAAACTCATCGTGTCTTGATAACAATACTAACTACACTAAAATATGTTGATAACACTAAAATCACCAACATGGAACATTTAAGAGTTACATTCATCATATATGAAACACATATACATATATCTTAGTGTATAGAAGTGAAAATACATATATAGTATAAGGATATTTTCCTTGTAAATTAGACAAGATTTATGTAGAAATAGACTCAAACAAAAAAATCTTGATATATTCATGATAACTTTTAGTAGCTGGCATACCTGTTCATAGGTAAGAAATGTTTCCCCAAACTCCGAGAGGAAAATCCTCGATAGGTCGAATGATATCCTCTTGTTGAACAATTATTTTCTATGACATATTTAATTGGTCCAATATGAAGAAGTCAATTTAATTTGATGTAGAGATAAAAGGTATATGTAGAGGATAGCGACAACATTAATGCATCTTATGTGTAAGAGATGCCGGAAAATTTAAAATTAATGTGCTACATAATCCTATTCCTTAAACACACCCATATTGGTTGAGAAATAGAACATATATTCTCTCATGATGAGCAAATTCAGTTATATCCAAAGATCTTATAGCACAAATGTTTTAAAATTTGTTTTTCTAGTTTAAATGGTCTAATGACCGATGATCGTTTCAACCGTCGATTCAACTAAGAATTTTCTTACATATAGCGATGGTTTGTTTTGGTCTTCGAGTTGTGTGCACTCTGTAAATATTCAATTTGCTTTGAAAATGAATTGTTCTTACATCTAGCGGTGGTATGTGACGGTCTAGAAATCGACATAAAATTGGTTGTTATTGAACCACTTTTGTCTAGGTCCAACCAGTTCGAATCGGTTTTTAAAACATTATGTAAGACTGTAGGTGTAGGTGATGTTATACATGGTTCAAGTAGAATACATGTGTGTTGTACCGCTAATAAACTGTAAAGTGTATAAGTTCGAACTGGTTTTTAAAACATTATGTATGACTTTAGGTGATTTTATACATGGTGTAAATAGAATACATGTGTGTTATACCGCCACTAAACTGTAAAGTGTATAAGATATGTAGGTGATTTATACATGGTGTAAATAGAATACATGTATGTTGTACCGCCAATAAACTGTAAAGTGTGTGTATATATATATATATATATATATATATATATATATATATATATATTCTATTGTTATGTATATTTGGATATCTTATCAATTAATTCTTTGAGTAAATTACACGAATCGTCCCTCGTGGTGGTGCCAAAATGCACGTTCAATCCTCATTTTCCAAAATTAACTTGAAACGTCCTTCGTTAGTTAAAAATTTACGCGCTTTATCCATCCGGACATAAAAATACCACTTTGCCCTTATTTATTTCTTTTTGATTAGTTTACTAATTATTAATTATTAATCTATTAAAAATTTGTTTAATATATATGGTCTTTCACCATTGCTATTGACCAACACCAAAACAACTTGCAATTGACCAACACCACCACCACCACCACTGATATTCACCACTTGCCTTAGACGACACTCTCAAGACTCCAATAACCCCATCTAGCTTGTCAGAAAACTTCAATAATAACCTCTTAATCGCTGGCTCTGCCACCGGAATAAATTACCACCACTTATGCCGTCGGAAATAGACAATTTGTTACCATCTTTGTCATCTGAAAAGCAACAATCAATGTTCAAATCCAGAAAAAAAAACATATCCCATAATTCCATTCAACTAAGGTATAAAAACCGATTCAACCCATAAGTTAGTAAGCAAATCAATTATTGTATCAACAAATCAAATATCTAATGTATTTGTTCCAAAAAGTGAAGACAATAGTGTTAGTTGTGGTGGATCGAGAACGGATGGTCGAAGGTGCTCCATAGGTCTTGTGGTGGATCGAGAACGGATGGTCGAAGGTGCTACATAGGTCTTCGGTGACAACCACCACACTCTCTAAACCATCCAAGCTCTAATACCCAAATGAATCTAATAAGATTTGATGTGTCTGGATTTTAATTTGATGAAAGCTCCGACATCTGTTAAGCTATTTATTGTTGGATTAGTGTCTAAGTCCATAACTATTTTGGTATGTACTTAACCCGATGGTGCATGGTCCTTTTGGGTTGCCTTCACCAAAGCAACTTGATCGGATGAATTATGGAGAGAAAGGATTAATTATGATTTATTAATATATTATGAGAATAATATATTAAAGGAGAGATCATATTGTTTAATTAATATTAGTCAAAAATTAATAAGAATTAAGTTTGTGGCTAAAAGACATTAATTAAACTTAAGGGACTAGAACTGTCAATTGTGTGATAGTTGAATATTAGGCTAATGGACTCCATAGAGGATGGAGTGGACGAATTCTATGGGGAAACCCATTAGAAATCATCCAAGGCCTCTAAGGAGGGAGTCCATGGGTTGCTTAGGTCCTAAGCATCCAAATTAGGGTTTCCTTG